TGTATGTGGCTGGCGCCCTAGCCACTTAAGCCACAGGCGCCAAGCCTATTTATTTTTAATTAGAGACAGGTTTCACTCTTGCTCAGGCTGATCTTGAACTCCTGACCTCCAAGCAATCTACCCTTCTAGGCCTCCCAGAGAGCTAGGATTACAGACATGAGCCACATTTTCTATTTTCATCTACCACCTATCTCCTCCTGCTTTGCTTCTGATAATGAACACTGTTTAATATGCATCTTATTCAGCACACAGTCAAATGTACTACTGTCTGATTTGGTGTGGCTATTGTTAGTAACCAGCTCCCCCTTCTAGAAACAGAGAGATACCTTTTAGATAAATTTTAACCTAGGATTCTAAAGTAAAATGAGGCAAAACCTATTCTTTACTGCATATTAGTTGTGTATGAGTTATCTGTGAAACAATATACAAGCAACACACCAGTTTATAAATTAAAGAAAACATTCTTGGTGTTAAATCTATCATCAGTATCGGATAGTAATGTTTTGATCCCAGTTTTTGGAAAATATATTCCAATTAAGAAAATGGAATACCATTTTAAGCTAAGCAATGATTTCAACTGTATTAAAAGAAAAAAAAAAACAGAAATTGAGTCATACATTTCACATTAAAATAACCAACATAAAAACTTAAGACTAATCCCTGCTTATTTTTTTAATACTCATTAAAGAAATGTATTTACTTTCTTATTTATTGACTATCTCTTCTTTCTAAAACACAAACTCCACAATAGGGCTCTTTCCTCCTTCACTATTTTATTACCATCACCTAAACAATGCCTAGCACATAGAAGTTACCTGAATAACTTGAATGAATGCATTCTGAATTAAAGAAAATGTCCATTTTAAATTTTGATAGGAACTGGCAAAATGCCCTTAGAAAAATTACATCAACATACGCCTCTGCCACCCATGTAGGAGAGGCCTCTGTATCTTACACACCACCTCAATTCTAATTTTATGCTTTTAAACTTTGTCAATGTGAATAATAAAAATGTCTCCTTCTTTCAAAAAAAAAAAAAAAAACTTAGACTAATCATGAAAATTTCACTTTGTACTCTACAAGCAATCAATTTTCTTTGTAGTAAAGTAATAAAGTTTAAAAAGATAAAAATGATTTAACCTTCTGATAAGAGATATTTGAAAATATTTATATTATCAAAGTAAAAAGCACAAAGATATATATATATATAACAATAAATTCAAAAGGGATATTCAAATAAGGAATTCAATCATCTGAACAATAATATACCACTTATTGGAAAAATCTATATAAGAATCCAATAGCAAGAATACTAAACTACATGCCAGAGACTGATATGAATAAGTTGTAAGTTGAACTTACAATTAAGCTGCATGTTTGTCATGAGTGTTAGGCTGTGAAGCACAAGGCACCAGGTCCGGAGCAAAGTATTGGGATACCAAGCTAACACTGTGAGAAAGCTACTAATTGATGCTACACAAAAAAAGGAAAAGGGAAAAAAAGTTACTCCAAGAAAATGAATGTTTACTGAACAATTATAAACCAAAACAACAAATTCAAAAATAAGACATTATTTCTATAAGTCAGTTCATTAATCAGTATTCCCAAGACATTCCAGTAAAAACAATTCCCCATTTAACAAAACAGAAGCATTAAGAGCTAGTAACCTTCTCTGGCAAGGCTTAAAGCTCAGCCCACTACACATAAAATGAAATGTTACTACTAAAAATGTGTACTTTCAAAACTGCAGGCATTTTTTTTTT